ATGCAGCATTGTGGGGTAGCCTGGAAATCTCAGACACATACACATCACTAAACACTACTACACTACTATACCACACTACTTACGGCCTGACCGAGCCTTGGGGCGATCTTAGAGTCGGAAACAGGTACGTATAATATTTTTCTTGCCTTCTCCCTTCATTTTAGTATGATAGGACATTCTTCCATATGGCCATTGGGCCCGACCCGCGTCTGCCCGTCGAGGAAGCTACTACGGGTCCCAGCCAAGACGATCTTTGCAGGGGCAGCTGCGGGCCGTAACAGAATTCAATGCTCCGTCCCCCTCGTGCTCTATTCTATTCGAAATATTTCAGCTCGAGATACAAAACCGTTTTCAGTGCCTGGAAGACTGCAATGAAGTGGACTATATAAATGATAAGCTCGTGGAAACTGTCCATGCGGTTGGAGCTAAGTTCGACAAGACCCGCCGCAGAAGAACACAAAAGCTCTCCGATCACACTCTTAATCTCATGGCTGTTAGACGAGAAATGTAGTTGCAGTCTTCAACAGATTTGACAGCGTATATGCAACTGAACAGACAGATCTCCAAATGCATGCGGCGGGACTTACGTAACTTCAATACAGCTTGTATTGAAGAAGCGATCGAGCTCCCTCGATTTCCCTACTAAGCCTCGTCTACGTGCTGTTTTCGAGAGTAATTACGAATCGTCTCGCACGCAGACTTGACGACTTCCAGCCTCCCGAACAAGCCGGTTTCTGAAAAGGCTAGTACCATGGACTGTGGTGTGAAGACAGAAGAGTACAATCTGCCACTTTGCGAGTGTGGACTATAAGATAGCCTTTGATTCCGTCGAAATTTGGGCGGTGCTACAGTCCCTTCAGCGGTGCCAAGTTGACTATCGATATATCGAAGTACTGAAGTGCTTGTACAGTAGGGCTACGATGGCTATCCGAGTATAGAACCAGAGTAAGAAACCTATCCAACTGCAGAAAGGTGTAAGACAGGGCGACGTTATATCCCCGAAACTCTTCACCACTGCATTGGAAGACGTTTCGAAGTGACTTGACTGGAAAGGATACGGTATTAACATCAGTGGCGAGTACATCACTCACCTTCGATTTGCCGACAATATAGTCCTTATGGCAGAATCACTGGTGGACCTAAGCACTATGCTCAATGACCTCAATAGTGTCTCCCAACTGATAGGTCTTAAGATGACCAAGGACAAAACAAAGATCATGTATAAAGTCCATGTCACGCCTATGCCGGTAGTTGTTGGGAGGACTAAGCTCGAAGTTGTTGACGAATATGTTTACCTGGGACAAATAGCCCGACTAGGTAAGTTCAACGTCGACCGAAAACTCAATCGACGGATTCAACTCAGTTGGGTAGCGTTCGGGAAATTACGGCACATCTTCTCATCAGGTATACCTCAAAACTTGAAAACGAGACTATACAACCAGTGCGTGTTTCCAGTGATGACCTATGGAACTGAGACATGGTCCTTCACTGCTGGGCGGATGAGGAAGCTCAAGGTTGCTCAGCGAGCTATGGAGAGGGCTATAGGGCTATGCTCGGAGTTTCTCTGCGTGATAAACTTAGGAATGAGGATATCCACAGTAGAACCAGAGTGACCGACATAGCCCAACGGATTAGATTTTTTCTTTCTTTTTTAAAAAAATTGAAATATATATTAAATTAGTCAGCTGAAGTGGCAATGGGCCGGCTATATAGCTCGAAGAACCGACAACCGATGGGGAAAACAAGTTCTCGTGTGGCAGCCTCGTACCGGCAGACGAAGTATAGGGCGTCCCCCCACTAGATGGAGTGACGACCTGGTAAGACATGCAGGAAGTCGATGGATGCAGGTGGCTTAGGACCCTGTTTTGTGGCATTCCTTGAGGGAGGCCTATGTTCAGCAGTGGACTTGTGAAGGGCTGTAATGATGATGATGATCTAGAAAACTACAGAACCGAATTCGATATAACTTCTTGAGTTTGAATAGCTAAATTCAAACATTTTCTACGTGGTAGAGCCAAGCTGCAGCTATATTATGGTTGTTGCACGAATGGGTCGGCTCGGCCGGTGAAGCACTACGCTCTCACAGAATACCAGCGTAAAATAGCAGCTTAATGTTGCATTGTTTCGTATGTTGAGTATAGAGAACCGGAGACCCCTTTTAGTGGAATCGAGGCATTCCATCTCAGTCCTCAGGGGTAACAACGCATCTGCATTTTGATTCTTAATCGAGGTTAACTCTAGATGTCCATGGGTCACACCATCCACTTACCATCAGGTGGACTGTGTGCTCGTTTATCACCCTTATCCTATAAAAATATTACCGGAATAAGGGAGATTAAAACACCATTTACTTGATATTTGGTTTTTATTCAAATTATCTAAATAATCACTTCTACATGAACATTCATACATACGGGTATCGTCACGGCTGTGCTTCCCGAGGTTCAAAGAGCTAGCTACTGAGACGACATCTAACCAAAAAAATTGGAATACGTGAAATTAGTGGAAGAAATGTTACTTCGCTACTATATACACTAATATTAGCCATTGGCGACATGTTAGGCTAGTAACACAGTAGACGCATTCTTTTTTGTTAAAAGTCCTACATAAACGCGAGCCCTTTAGGTCCCAGACCAACATGGGACTCACATTTATAATTTATTTTATATCATATTTAGATTTATTTATGATGCCAAAAAACACATATAATACAATATAATACACATAAAATAAATTAACATTCTGTATGAATTATGATCTTAAACAAAAAATTAACTTGATATTATCTATATCAATATTTGACAACTACATGGCAGTAACCATAGACATAGAGAATGGACTGAGCGTTAGCCTCACAAAAGTGACAATTTTCTAGAAAGAGACAAAGCGACTGTGCGGCCAATACTTGTCACTTTCTTGCAAGCCTGATTAGTCCACGTCCTGCAAGCCAGTGACGTGGACCAATCAGAATTTGACGTAGATCAATCAGAATTCCAGAAAGAGACTACTACTGTCCGCACATTTGCTTTGTCTCTCTCGCACTTTTCGGTATGTATTCACTGCAAAACCGAATACGGAACGCACAGTCCATTCTCTCTAAGCCTATGGCAGTAACAAAAAAGGTGACATACGGTAACATTTAATATTAAACATGCTGTTATGATTACTCTTTTCCACTAAGTGTTAGAGCTGTCTGAGATACAAGAAGTCTGTCTGAGCTGGTCTAATTACACCAAATCCAGTATAATTACACTATATATTTTAAATGAGTCGCTAGTTGCATTTGATTAATAACAATTTTTTTGAAAGCCTCTTTTCACGTACATGCTACAACTTGGACAAAAGCTAACATTGGTAACTAGTGGTGCCAGGTCCACGAGAATTTGGTTTTCAAATCGGGACAGCTACAATGACTACAGTATTTTTTGTTGCTATTTTAGCCGCCATGATTTATGTAATACTAAAGTCTTTTGGACACAATGCGCAATCTGCATTATACATATTTATTATTTGGGAATGATCCAATGAACGAATAATTTAATAGCAAATAAAACTAGAAATAGCCGACGTAAAATATTATCAGATCAGACAGAGAAGAGATCAGATGCAAATAGTAAGAGAAGACAGAAGCTACATACTACTAAAAACATAACTTAATATTTGAGGAACAATAAATATGACTACGCAAGACACGGATCTGACACAATAGAGAAAGATCTAAAGCAAGCAGGAAGCTCGATAATTTAAAATTAAAAATTTTGTACAACCGACTTCAATATATATTTATTTTATATTAAGGATAACTCAAAAACTACTGGTCAGACCTTGATGAAATTTATGTGGAACTACAAAAAAAAGACCAACTTTCAAATAAAACAGAATCATCGAAATCGGTTGAAGTAGAGCGAAGTTATACATAAAAAAAAATATAGTCGAATTGAGTACCATCTCAGTTTTGAAGTCGATAGGAAAAGGTGTTGATGAAATAAGAATAAACATTACATGGATTGAAGGACTAATTCAAACAGGAAAAATATTAAATTAACGCAAAAACATCATAAGGGTAGCAACCGAATTCTATAGAATTCTATATAGTGCCAAAACTCAAACAAGCAACAGTGCCAGCAATGTATATAAAATATAAGACAAAATTGAGGGAATTATAACACCACCAAATTTGAAGTCATAGAAGCAATAAAAATATTAAAAACACAAAAGTCCAGGGTCAGATCACATCACGACTGAAGCTATAAAAATTGTCCAAAGATAATGAATCAACCATTGACTCTTCTACTTAACCGTATATTAGAAACTGCTGAAACACTAACGCAATGGTCAGAATCAAATATTATTTCAATTTATAAAATAGGAGACGACATCACAATCTAGATAAATATTACCACTTATTTTCTTCAACTATAAAGCGAAGAATAAGTATTACAGTAAAAGTAAATCAAACCATTGAACAAGCGGAATTTAGAATAAACTTCTCGACAATCGATCATATACGAGTGGATACATACATATACGTTGGATTTACTTATTTAAGAATTTCAAGGAAGAGGGAGAGCTTTATACGTCGTCTATATTGATTACAAAAAGACTTTTGACAGCATATCACAGTAAAACCGGGACATTTGGCGTCCCAATCAAAGGTGTAACGGAACGAGTCACCATACACCTAAAAATTGGGACGTCCCGCACAAATCGGGACACCTGGCAACACTAGTGGTAACTATTTATTGAACAAACGTACATAACTTAATCTATTTTATTTTTTTTATTTATTTATTTAAAAGGACAACCAACAAGACGAAAACTAATACATGGTATTATTATTTTATTAAATCGTTCGTAAAAACAAAAAAAAACCTAAGACGATACTTTTTCCTCATTTAAAATGAAAGAAGGAATATACTTTTAGGTCGGTATATCATCTGTCGGTATATCGGTGTTTAAAATTAAGCCCGTCTTATTAACTTAAATATAAAACATAATACTTATTTCACAACATGTGTATTGGGCCTAGAATCAATTTTTACATAATTTCCGTATGGTGTATTTATTGTTTGTGGTCCAGCAACATAAGGTTCATACGCAACGTTGACGTTTTTAATTTCAGGAGTACTCTGCACACCGTCTCTACTCCAGGAAGCTGAAAATAAAATTATATTATTATAGCGCCATCTACTGTAGACACATTACAATCCGTATGTTTTTAATTTAATTATTCAACTTGAATTTAGTTTCGCAATTAAACTTAAGATGGCATCAACACAAAGACTGATAGTCATAAAATTAACGTCATTTTAAGAAATCTCTGTCGTAGGTATAGAGATAATTAAAATAAATTAAGCGATTATCGACGATTATAAATAAGGTCAAAAATTCTTACTAAAAGGTACGTGTTCTTCGGGCGCGCTATGTCCATGGTGGCCGTTATGTATGTGTAAATGGATTTCTTTCTGCGGTGGATGAGATGGTTCCCAGCCAGTACTATGATGTCCTTTATGACCAAATAAGGCGCCAATCTAAAAATTCAAGAAATAAATATTATCGATAATATTTAATTAAAAAGTATATGTAGTAAAAAGTAGTTCGCAATCGCCTTTCGTAGGGGCGAAGCCAATCTTGTGAAATTCAACGCCTCCAAAACACAAGCGTGTCTCTTCACTGCAATAATTTAAAATTTAAAATTTTGTACAGCCGACTTCTATATAAGTTATTAAGAATAATTCAAAAACTATTGATCTGACCTTAATCAATTTCATATGGGACTACACGAGAAGTATCAGCTTTCATATAAAAAAAGAATCATCGAAATCGGTTCACCCAGTAAAAAGTTATGAGGTAACACACATAAAAAAAAACACATACAGTCGAATCGAGTACCGTCTCCTTTTTGGAAGTCGGCAGAAAAGTAGCCAGCTCACCTTAACTACTTCTTTTTGAAATGTATCACTGGAATACACCGACCGCCTACAGTTGTTGATGGTTGGGATATCCTCAAATATGAACTTCGGGCGATTCATTGAGTCCAAAGCCAAAGCAGCTGCAAGGAAGCTAGGAGTCCTTGCAAAGGTGCGGGGATACTTCACGCCGGGACAGCTGCTTACTTCATATAAAGCGCAAGCCCGGTCGTGCATGGAGTATTGCTGCCATATATGGGCTGGTGCTGCAAAATACCACCTAGCAGCTTTGGACTCAATGGAAAGACGTGCTGAGAGGCTTATTGGTGACCCGAATTTGGTTAAAACCAATCTTACCAGCCTCGAACACAGGCGCAAAGTAGCCAACCTTTCGGTCTTCTACAGGATGCATTTTGGAGAGTCTACGCAGGAATTGCATAATTTAATTCCTCCCCCTCCCTTCCACCATCGGACAACCAGACGTTCGGCCAGTCTCCACCCCTTCGTTGTTGACTTACCACGCATTCAAACCAGTTCGCTACATCGTTCATCAAAGGAGTGGAATAAGTTGTTCTGTTCTGTGTTTCCATCCAATTACAATGTGGGTGTCTTCAAGGCAAGAGTGAATAGGCTTTTGTTAAATCAGTGCGCTTCACCATCTTAGGCTACATCACCACTTACCATCAGATGGGATTGTGGTTAAGTGCTGGCTTAGAATAATAGATAATAAAGGAAGTATTTGAATAGTATCGGATTAATGTATGTACTCGTACTATGTAAAACCACGATACAGGAAAAAATTCTAAAGATAACATATTCAATTATACATACTCTTAGGACGTGAGTAATACGAGCATGCGAAGAATGCACTGCAAAGAATGTCGTAACTATACCAAATGGACGATTTTTTATGTGTGGACTTAATATAAGTAGTTTTGTTGAATCAAAGTAGCATTATGAAAGCCAAGTTCTACCACTGAAATTGTGTTTCCGATGCGTGTAAAATACAGCGGCGCATATCAGTAGTTTTAAAACTAATTTAATAAGAGTACAATATCTCAATCAATCAATATATACTTTATTGTACTTCTGAATATATTAAACAAAAACAAAATGAAATATATTATTACAAAGGAGATACAATAGCCGGTCTTATCGCTCAGCAAACGATTTCTTTCGGGCTTTCTTTTTATGCAAAGAATCGTTGTTTACAACCAATGCTCATATTCGTTGTAAACAACGGTTTAAAAGCTACAATTCTTAGCAGAATAGGAACTGAAACGGTGTCAAATATAAAATGTGTATGTATAGCCTTTAGCAACCGTCTTCGTTATGACATCACGATTCCGTCAATATGTGTTGAACGAGTGAAAGCTACTTTCTAAGGTTGAAAGAGACAAGGATGCTAATTGTTTACAATAGAATATCTAAGTCAAATACCGCTGTTGAAAAGAAAACAAAAAGATATTTAAATATATAGGTAACTTAAATGTCTTTGAGAAAACATTTACAAGTCAGATTTTGATAAAACATGCACGTATTTATTGACAAACGAGCACACAGTACACCTGATGATAAGTGGACATCTACATTTATTTTCGATTAAGAATCAAAATGCAGATGCGTTGTCACTCCTGGGGACTAAGGTAGACTCACCATACGAAACACAATTGATTGAAAATTAATAATGAATTGACTAGAGGAAATCAAGAAGTCGCAGCGTGTTTGAGAAATAATTTACTCATGATATTCCTATCTTAACAACAGCGTTATTGATTACTTCTCCAACTGTCACCGAGTCATTAATTACACAAACAGAATATTATATAGTACCTGTTTAAAATAATTTAGATTTGAAAAAGTATTACCACAAGTTATTGTAAAATATTTCAAAACCCTTGATGTAAAGATAACCGCAGGTTAATGGGGGAACGGATAGGGCCGTCATCTACCCCGGTCGCAACGGTGATTGGAACCGGCGAGAGATGTCGTGCGGTGTCCCACAGGGTTCGGTTCTGGGGCCGCCCCTGTGGAACATCGGTTACGACTGGGTGCTGCGCGCCGACCTCCCTACCGGCGTCAGCGTAGTTTGCTACGCTGACGACACGCTGGTACTGGCACAGGAGGGTCGTACGAGGCGGCGGCGGAAACTATGACACGCGGGGTTGCGATAGTCGTTGAAAGGATCCGGCAGCTGGGTCTTGAGGTGGCTCTGCACAAGTCCGAGGCCATGCACTTCCATGGTCCTCGGAACAGGCCACCACCGGGATCCTCAGCGATGGTAGAAGGGGTATCCATCGGCGTCGAGTCGACGTTGAAGTACCTAGGACTCGTCCTCGACAGCCGATGGAACTTCGTTGAGCACTTCCGACGTTTGGCTCCCAAACTGGAACGGACCGGGGCTGCCTTCAGGCGGCTCCTGCCGAACCTAGGGGGGCCAAACGCCTCCTGCCGGAGACTCTACGCGGGGATTGTGCGATCCATGGCCCTCTACGGGGCCCCGGTGTGGGCGCGTGGTTTGGCGCGGCTTGCCGTCCACCACCTGAACGCGCCCCAAAAGGTGCTTGCCGTGAGAATGGTTCGCGGCTACCGCACGATCTCCCGCGAGGCAGCGTGCCTACTTGCTGGATTGCCGCCGTGGGATCTGGAGGCGATAGTCCTCGCGCGCCTGCACGAATGGCGCGCGGAGGCACTATGCCGGGGGGAAACCCCGCTGCCGCGGCAAGTTGTCGTGCAGCGGACAGACTTCCGGCATGATCTCATGGCGACATGGAGAGAGCGACTGTTGCAACCCCGTGCTGGGCACGCCACTATAGCGGCGATAAGACCCCTCTTTGAGGAGTGGCTTGAGAGACGCCACGGCGTCCTCACCTTCCGCCTGACGCAGGTCCTCACCGGACACGGTGTGTTCGGGAGGTTCCTGCACCGAATCGGGCGGGAGGAAACGCCCGGGTGCTCCCACTGCCAGGATCGACCGGAGGACACGGTGGAGCACACCGTGGAGGTGTGCCCTGCCTGGGCGGAGCACCGCCGTGTCCTCGTAGCGGCGATAGGCGGCGGCGACCTCTCGCGTCCGGCCCTGGTCGAAGCCATGGTCCGGAGCGAGACGGAATGGGATGCCGTCACCACCTTCTGCGAAGCAGTGATGCTAGCGAAGGAGGTGGCGGAGCGGGAGAAGGAGAGAGCAGCAGCTTTCCTTCCCGGCCGCCGCGGGAGACGCCCCGGGCGTCGGGGGCTACGTCGTGGCCCCCGGCCACCGTAGGCGCGGGCCTGTGGACGGCGAGCTATGGGTAGCTCGCCGTCCGTCCGTCTAACGACGACAGGCCGTGTCGACGGCGCGTTTTGTTCTACGCGCGCCTCAAGGAGCTGTCAGCAGCGTGAAGGGGCCCGCAAGGGCCGACGCCTGCCGGGGCTGCGGGCTGTTCGAAAGAGATACCGCGGCTCCGGAACGTAAGGGCACTGAAGGAACACGGATGGTTTTTAGTCAGTAAAAGTCTGACACTCCCTTCCGCTCCACCCAGAGCGAAAGGCGTCATTTGATGATTTTCCATCCGCAAAAAAAAAAAAAAGGTTAATGGGGGATTTCCGTTACAGTTTTTGCGCCCATAAGAGATTTAATTGCACCTCATATTGCTAATATTTTTAATACTAGTATCGAATCTGGTGTGTTTTCTGATTTAATGAAACATAGTAAAGTAATACCCTTATTTAAATATGGTAGTACATTGGACCCCGCTAATTGTAGACCCATTTCTGTACTACCAAGTTTCAGTAAAATGTTTGAAAAAATAATTTTAGATTAATTGTTAAAATTTTAATAAAAATAAATATAAAATACAATAATCCACCACCCGACGATATTTTCAATGCCTGGTAGAATTCACAAGACGTCTTAGGTATATTTTGTGATCTTTTTAAGGTTTTCTATTGTGTTCATCATGAGATATTAATCAGGAAACTACCACATTACGGTGTCAAAAACATTTTTTTTTTAGGATATGGTGACAAACGAGCACACAATCCACCTGATGGTAAGTGATTGCTGCGGCCCATAGACATTTATCCTCGTTTCCGAATCAAAATGCAGATGCGTTGTCACCCGTGAGGACTAAGATAGAATGCCTCTTTTCCAGTAAAAAGGGCTTCCGGCCACCTGCACTCACCAAGTAAAACGCAGAGGTAAACTTCTACTTCACGCTGGTTTTCTATGAGGTCGTGGTACCACCCCGGTTCGAGCCGGCCCATCCGTGCAGCAAAAGCTGCCGCGTGGCTCTACCACTGTTAAAAGTTTTCTATTGTGTTTATCATGAGATATTAATCAGGAAACTACAACATTACGGTGTCAAAAATATTTCGCGTAGACTTATTATTTCATATTTAAACAAGTGGGATGCGGGAAGTGAAGACTGTGTAAGAAACCCCGAAGGAGGCCAAGTTAGGGCCGAAATAAGAATTTTAATTTTTTTGGTTTTTTACCATTTTGACCCCCTAGGGGTGTAATGAGAATTTTTTGCCACTATTCAACTATGACCCACATGACATCCTCTACATGATAGGTTATTCATACTGACTAGGCCTAAAGTTCGAGTCATCTCCCAACTCATTTCTAAAGTTTTACTTCCAACAAGTGGGCTACGGGAAGTAAAGACTGTGTACTCGTAAGAAACTCCGAAGGAGACGAATTTATATCCGAAATAAGAATTTGAAATTATTTAGTTTTTGGCCATTTTGACCCCCTAGGAGTGTAATGAAGACTTTTTGCCCCTATTCAACCATAACCTCTACATCATGACATGACATCCTCTACATGATAGACTATTCAAACTAACTATGCCTAAAGTTCGAGTCGCCCCTCAACTCATTTCTGGTCTTTATTTCCAATTACTTCCAATAACAGAACACAAAAAGCCGTTATCAATGGTAAAGATTCTTCCGGATAGGTAGTATCAATGGGTAATTTTTTTTACTAATTATAAGCCAGTGCTTGACCACAACCCCACCTGATAGTAAGTGGTGATGCATCCTAAAATATTAAATCCCACTGTCTTAGCGTAACAAAAGCCTATTCACTCTTGCCTTGAAGACGCCCCGATTATATTCGGACGGAAAGATAGACGCCGGCAAATTATTCCACTCCTTTGCTGTACGCATTACAAAAGACGAAGCAAGCCGTTTGGTTCTAATGCGTGGAATATCGACAACAAAGGCCCATTCCTGTTCTTAATCTATATTAATGATTTACCTTATCTTATAGGGGACAATCACGTTAGAGTATTATTTGTTGATGATACCTCTTTAATTTTCAAACTCAAACGACAGTCAATTAATTTTGACAATATAAATAATGCTCTATCGAAATTAGGACATTGGTTTAACGCCAACAATTTGATCTTAAACGGCAAAAAGAAAAAATGTATTACTCGTAAATTTACAATAGTTAACGTTAAACATTAGAAAACCAATGTGCTCTTAAATGGGGAGGAGTTGAGTCTTGTGGATACCACAGTTTCATAGCGTAATGTCTTATGGAATTTTGCTAATAACGCCATAAGAATACTATAATACACTATAGGTAATGCGACTGACATTGAAGCTATATTTGTTTTGCAAAAGGGAGCCGTACGGGTGATTTATACCTTAAATTGTAAAGAGTTCCTTAGAGATAAATTGAAAGAAATAAACATATTAACTTTGGCATCGAAATATATTTATGAAAATATAATGTTTGCAGATATCCTATACCTATATAAAAATATAAATAGCTTTGATAAAAATAAAGATCATCATACTTTAAATACTAGGAACAAACATAAGCTTGTAATACCAGTTACTAGACTCCAAAGAATTACTAATTAATCTATGGGGAAATGTATATGCTTTCACAACAAAATCCCAAAAAATGTAGAAAATTTGTCAATAAACAAGTTTAAATGTTTTATTATAGAAAAATTGTACTAAAGGGTTACTATAATATGAAAGAATACATAAATGAAAATAACCCCTGGGAAAGAGGCGGAAATGAAACTCATTTAAAAATTGTACAAACAAAATTATTGTAAAGTGAAATAAGTTAAAAATGTCCCACTGGGTTTCTTGCTGGTTCTTCCCAAGACAGAGATTTTTTCCGAGCCAGCGGTAAATAAATAAATAAAAAATCAATAAGTATTTATAAATGATCGTTGTAATAATCTATATTGAATAAAAAATCATTATATTCTATTAACCAGCAATAAGCTGCCATTTTACACCGGTATTCTATGAGAGCTTGGTCCCACCCCTATCGAGCCGACCCATTCGTGCTACAACCATAATATAGCTGCAGCATTTTTAGAAAGTAGTTTTTATTTTAAAGTACTTTATACTATACATAAAACTTGTATACTTTTAACCACTAATTTAGTTTCCCAAATTATTATTATGTTAATCCGCATCGTATGGTGGCGCCCCGTAAGAAAATTTACCAGCCTATTTGGTCCTATGGGTATCGTAAAAGGCGATCTAATATATATTAGTTTAGTAATCCATGGAGATGACTACGGAAAATGCCAAAAAAGTCTTATATATTTCGATAGATGGCTTTATGACTACCTCAGGTAAAAGATTCAGACCGGCGACGGTGAGCAACGCCTAAGACGTGACACTGATGGCAAATTATTTGAGATTTGCGAAGGTTTGGAATGTTCTTAAATAATCTAGAATAAACATGTTGGTGTAATCAAAACTTAATGCCAGTGACGTCAAACAACTTTATGTAATTAACTAGCTGTTCCCCGCGACTTCGCTCGCGTGTTAGGGTTTTTTTTGCGCGTAACCGTTATTCTTTTTCTAAAATAAAAGTAGCCTACGTTATTCCTTATGACATCAGCTATCTGCCAGTGAAAGTCCCGTCAAAATCGGTCCAGCCGTTTCGGAGATTAGCCGGAACAAACAGACAGACAGGCAAAAATTAAAAATATTGTATTTTAGTAATAAGTACCGTATTTACTTTCATATGCATTTAGTAAAAAGCTGTAATTTCGACACTTCAATTTTATTTATTTGTAGAGATAGATAATACTGGCATAAAGTCCCATTACCTTAACTGCGCCGGCTACCAGTAGCAACTTGAGAATAATCAGGGTGACGCCCAGGGTCTTGATGCCGACGAGGGCAGCCACTATGGCCCACGTAGCAGCTGCGCCCATCTGGAACACCAGTGGGATGAGCGCCTGAGCCATTTTCTTAAACCGCACCCCGAAAGTTCTACCTGAAATCAGTTTAAGGTAAAATGTAACTATCGTAGTCTCACTACTGCACAGATGGGAAATGAGGTTCTTGTGCTGCGATGCGATGCATAAAAGCGATGTGATGAGAGCGTTGGGGCTGTATGTTCATTTGATACACTTAATTTTATCATCATCGTCATCGTCAAATTTTATGTGATCGGCGGTAAAACAAAACATCGTGAGGTAACATGCTTGTGTCCCTCTCCGTTCCATCATCGGGCCACATGACACTCGGCTGGTCTCCACCCCTTCGTTGTTGACATACCACGTCTTTGAACCAAACGTTTTATTTCGTCGTTCATAATGTGTAGACAAAAAGAATAGAAAAAAACATGCCTGAGTGTCGTGGAACATTCGGTAGAAACGATGTTCCTTTCGTAGTATATTATTATTGATAAACGTATATATCATTGATTAACAAATATAAATAAATAAATTACTAATGTCTATTAAAATAAAGAGTCCATAGTCGATAGCTTTTCATTAGTTAATCAAATAATAAACGGTCAAAAGGGCGCTGCATATAGACAGTTGACATTATATTAAATATTTTAGTTAATTTTAGTACTGTGTAGTGTAGTTAGTTTTTTCGAAGTGTTCCTAATTATTTCCAAAGCTTGTCTGCTATATTTTTCTTAATATATTACATAATATAGTATACGATTTTGTGTCTTTGTCTCTGTCCTCCTCCTAGTTTTGGTTTTATAGGGCTGCAAAGCTTAAGGTGACCATATTACCTTTGTAAAATATAAAAATAGTATTTCCATCGGATTACAATGTAGTATTTTCTAGGCAAAAGTAATTAGGCTTTTGTTAAGTTAGCGAGCTTTACCATCTTCAGCAGTATCACCTCACACAGGTGGGATAGTAATCAAACACTGGCGTACAATAGTAAAAAAAGTTTCTGAAAAATTAAATATTACAAGGGAATATGTATCGAAGACTTGTGAAGTCCTCCAACAGCAGAGTAGCAGTTTGGCGGAAATTTACTTGCTCGTTGCCATAAAACCGGATTAGAAACGAGGGATGGGCTGTGCTCGTGTATGCAGGCTGTAACTTTGCATTATTACAACGAAGCCTTGCGGATCAGTTGGAATTTAATAAGTCAAGATCTGGAAATATTAGACATAACCTGTCAACATAACTTAACATACAATAACGGCGAAAATATGTTATCAAAGTTGATTTTGCGGTAAAATAATCAGTAAAATAAGTGAAAATTATAGTTGTGCCCAAACCGACAGTTCCTCAAGTTTTTAGGTTGCTGTTAAAAAGTTGTCCTTACAACATTATTTGTTAATTCGAGAAACTCATTCTATTACAAAATTAATTAACCTTCACAAAGCGTCCACTGCGTTAATATTGTCTCCCCTTGAATTAATGCGGCCGATAGCCTACCTTCAACTTACGGTATTACTTCATACATACGAGTAGAGGAGATAAACAAACAACCACAGCTAACCGATGTCAAGCAGTACCCAAAGTTAAACTTAATGGAATATTTTATATAAAAATATTTTTTCGATAAATAGTTCATTTAGAAAATCGATACGAAGACAAATATAAAATCATATTTTTGTCTTTGTTTTTCTTTTTTCTATTTGAGATTTGCTCGTATTTGTAACATGCTGGTTTGAAATTTTTAAATGAGTTTTGACACTAATAGGTCGTGTTTTCGTTAGTCCGCAGCGTGCAACACTTTATTTAGTTGGTATTTTCCTGTTTAAATTCAAATTCAAATACTCTAGTGAAGAACGTTTAGCGGGGCGTGCGGCGTAAAAGCGCCACAGGAAAATGGAGTTATCATTACTATTACAAACTATTAAAAATCCACAGATGAACATAAACCTCCCCATAGATCAATGCTTCATAGAATGAATACTTGCTGTAGTAGACAACCGCAGTTTATTTTTATTTTTAGTTGTTATCAGGAAGATTCTGCTGCTTATCTCTTGGTTTGTTTCCCTCTGTCGCCTCTTACGACACCCATGGAACGATGGGTCAGAAGCTATCAATATCCGTCAAAATAAAACCATCTTAAAATCAAGTTATGTACTTGGAGATATTTGCCTTATCTTGTTGAGTATTGATGCATTTTAGGTATATATTTAATTCCCCCTCAATTTACGATTAAGTCACCATCATTTTAAAATTATCTGTGTTCAGTATTGCCAAGTGACACAAAAACTAGCTTCTTTGATTTCATAATAAAATATTGTAATCCACGATCTTAAATAAAATATACCTAGAATTGTCTCTAATTAAATTTATTTTTTTCATTCAATAAAGATCACATGTGTAACTCTTATCGAAAGTCATTTTTTACTTTATCACTGGTTCGAAAAAACCTCTGTCCTGGGAAGAACCAGCAAGAAACCCAGTCGGACTTTTTTATAAAAAGAAAATTTTACATTAATGGATGTACAACCCATATAAGTACAAAATTTATTTTAGAAACAGCGTGGAAGCGACCACCTCATTCCTATGGGTTATTATCAACCATGTATTCATTTATACTATAATAACCCTTTTTATACAGTTTCAACTTAACAAAACATTTAAACTTGGTAATAGAGAGAGCCTGTACACTTTCCGGGACCTTGTTGTAATAGCGTATACATTGCCCCAAGAATGAATTACTGACTCTGTGGAGTCGAGAAACTGGTATCACTAGCTTGTGTTTGTTCCTAGTGTTTACAGAATTTATATCACATATTTTTACTAAAACTACCTTTGTTTTTGTGAACATACATTAAATTTTCTTAAATATACTGAGAGGCCAAAGTTAATATATTTATTTCTTTAAATTTATCTCTAAGAGACTCTCTGAGGTTTTAGGTTGTAAATAGCTCTAATGGCTCTCTTCTGAAACAAAACAAAACAAAAATAGTTGCTGAATCAGCCGCATTTCCGCATGTCCAAACTAGCAAGCATATAATATGGGGGCCCCACTGAAGCTTTGTGTCGAAAATGATGCCAAAAAAAACAGTGGATTCAACAGGGCTCAGTTCCTCCCCATTTAAAAACACTTTGGTACTCAGATTTTTAATATTCGTTGTTGTAAATTTAATACATTTGGTTTTATTTCCGTTTAAATGTAGATTATTAACGTTTAACCAATGCACTAATTAAATTCGCAAGCATGTATGCGTAGGTAGGTATATGGATGTGAAGGAAATGAGAAAGTTGTGTCAGGATTGTACTAAATGGAAGCCCGTAGTCTCTGCCTACCCTTCTGGATGACAGTCGTGAGTATTTATGTATATATGAATGACAATTTAAGTAAAAAGAATATCCGGGTGGCGTTTAATCATTTGAGCAAATATTTTTATGATAAAATCTACATCTGCCACTGCCATGTTCCCATGTTTTACTCTTAAGTACGCACGGAACGCTACGTTGGACGTTAACCTCAATGAGCTATGAAATTTTATCCAAATGTGTGACAGTGAATCGACACCGCTAGCTGCGCTACTTCCAATGTTTTTGCGAGATGCAATCGAACACGTGTTATCTGTATTTACTCCGATTAAGTTCTGTGAACACGTTAATGATATAGAGAAAGCAATTTTAATTTAAAGCCTTTAAGCTTGCAGTACGTATCTATATAAATAAATACGGTACTTATAACAAAAAAAAACTATTTTTAATTTTTTTGTCTGTCTGTATGTTTGTTTGGCTAATTTCCGAAACGGCTGTGCCGATTTTGATGGGATTATCAATGGCAGATGATGTTATAAGAAGTAACTTAGGTTATTTCAGAAAAAGAATTAGGGTTCCGCACAAAAAAATATTAAAACCCATGAAATGTGATTAAAATGCGATTCAAATGGGGAAATTATTAAAAACTATGCGTACGAAGTCGTGGGCATCTCTAGTTTTATCTTTAAATAGTATGCAATTAATCGCTCGTCCGCATCTGTTCCTGTATTTAAAAGGTTAATGTTTACAGCCTATATACGTCCCACTGCTGAGCACAGGCCTCCTCTCATTTCCAAGATGGTTTTTGGGTAAGGAAATGTCCGCCGGGCTGCCCTAATGCGTGTTCTTGTATTTATATAAGCTTATTTACGTAGGTAGAACTAAGCAGTACAGCAAAATCTTTGTAAAAAAGGATCACCCTCGTACAGAACATCTACTAATATAGCAGGCTAAAGCTGCTATGTGTATATGGTAAGTGACAAGAACTGGAGACGCGTACCAGAAGCCTTAGTCTTCAGGGGTGATAGCCTATTAGTATTTTGATATGAATCTGCATCCACGTGGTAGAGCCACGCAGCAGCTGTATTATTGCTGCAGCGTGAAATGGCCGGCTCGATTCACATCGTAAAGAATACCAGCGTGAAATATCATTGTAATAATGTGTTTTGTATTGTGAGTAACAGGATCCGAAGACCCTTATACGGGTAATAAGACATTCCATCGTTGTCAACGGTGACAACGCATCTACATATATTTTACTCTTTACTCCAATATAAAAAAAAACCTTTGAAACTCCTTAGATAATGGATTTAAGTACAGTAACTGACCTCGTGTATCTAGCTGGAACTAATCCGTTCTCATTTCAGAATATGTGCATCTTATATCGAACATGGTTAAATATACAAATGAGCGCCGTTAGTATAATAGCAAGTATATACCTGGTAGAGCCACGCTGCAGCTATATTATGGTTGTAGTACGAATGGTTCCGCTCGAACGGGATAGGATCATGCTCACACAGAATACCAGCGTAAAATAGCAGCTTAATGCTGAGTGTAGAGAATCGGAGACCTTTTTTTCTGGAAACAAGGCATTCCATCTCTGTCCTCAGGGGTGACAAGGCATCTGCATTTATCGAGGACAAATGTAAATGTCTATGGGCTACAGCATCCACTTTCCATCAGGTGGCTGTGTACTCGTTTGTCATACTTATTCTATGAAAAAGCAAATATATTATTATTTTGTTATTAGCACTATATAACATGATGTCGGTTGAC